AACTAGTGCAACTTTTTTCAAGCTAGGGGCTGTAAATGTATTAAACTTCAATTTCCATGATTCTTCCAGTGCTGGAGAATCTCCATAATTAATTCTGAATGGGGTGGCAATACATATTTTGTGCACAATCTGAGATTCTCATTTCTGAAGAGCAGATTGCAGCTAGCCAGAAAGGCCTTTTCACAGATTAATGTGTGTGTTCTTTCATGAATTGGGAATCCCTTTTTAACATATGAATTTTTAACGTAACTCATAATGATGTAACACTGCAACATGCACTATACATGGCTGTCCTTGAAGACCACATGGAAGCTACAGCTAATCTAAAATACAATGGCATAAACACTTATGAGCACAACTTAGTACGTCCACATAATACTTCTGCTTATATGAATTGCATTGGTTGAAACAAGCTTTTTAGTGCAATTCTTGGTGTCAGGAATAATCTATAAATCCTCATGGTATATAGAGGCTGGCTATATGAGGGATGATCTTTCTCTGATTTCTGCCCAACTCTTTTAAGATTTAACAATGTGAGTATGGTTCAATAAGGAATGCATAAATTAAGCAGTCTGACAGGACCCAGGAAACATGCCTCTTCCTTGGAGTGCCTGTCATTTGGAATGATATTTCCTCAGATGTTCAAACTGACCCAACTCATAATAGTTTTAAATGATCTTTGAGGACCTGGTTTATTCCTGAATTTCTAGGATAGGTCACACGGGTTCATCTTGCATGAAATATCTCCTTTTGTTAGGTATGTATGTTTTCCTCTGTTATGTTTGCTATTGTCTAGTTTTAAGTATTGTCTCTGTTTTGAATCTATATGCTTCCCAAAGTTAATTTGAGCGGCCTTATATTTAATAAAATAAATGTATATTTTATAAATACATTTGTCTATGTGTGTGTGGGGGTTAATCATGGTGCATGTGCTGTGTGTGAGAAGCAGAGATGTACAGTATAGATAAAGAAGATCTAATCAGAGTGAGTGCTTGCATACTGCATCTGCTAGTATGTATAGCATATGGTCACTCAGAAGGCTGCATACTGGTTGCTTTTGGTCAAATGACTAAAGAAAGAGGATTTAGAATGTTTAGAAATGTCAGTTGAAAATCTAATTGCCTCTCCTATTGGGAAGCCTAGGGGAAACTTTTTCTAGATATTTTTTCTCCACAGGACAGGCCCTGGCCAGGTATGACACATTTTTTAACTAAATTTCTGTTTTGCCAGTTTCTCCCCCAACACCAAATTTCGTTATATTATGCTTTTTGAAATATTCCTACTGATAGTGTCCATCCCCACATTGCATAATTTCTTTTGAATATTTTGTTGGTTTAGGAAAAAAAATGAGAATTGGTGGCTGCAGCTCCATGTCCATCTAGACAAGAAGGAAGAATGGAAAAAGGAGCAGTATCAGTGTCAGCAAGAGCAACAAACCGAAATAGCAAAGAACATCTTGTGGTGCCAGAGAATGATAACTTCATTAGTCTGCTTTTTGGTAATTAGGCATTTTGTGATTTTCCACACCCATTATGACAGCCACTTCATTAGAATGAATTTCAATTTGCTCATAAAATGCAAAGCAGAAAGATCTAGAGAAAAAAGTATAACAAGGAAGCATCATTTAGTACTTTGAATTTTTCATTGCCAGTAATAAATATAGCTAGTCAAAAGAAAAGAAATTACATATTGTAGCCAAATAACTAGACCACTGGAGTTCTCATTATCTCTTCCAAAAACATATACATGAGTAGAAAAGAGTCAGATTGATACTATATTGTGGCCCACCGGGCGGCTGGCAGAGCTGGCAGCAAAGTCAGACAGTAGTGAGGAGGTTGGGAAGGAACCTGGGCCATTCCTGGAGGCTGAGGAAGGCTTGGATGAGGGCTCTGCATCAGAGGCAAAGATGGGGCTAGGGCAGGCTGGCAGTTATCAGCTGCCTTTCAGATTGGACAATAGTGAGGCGGGGGAGCTTCTGGAACTGGTTCCCAGCCAGCACATGCGCAGAGCTGCCAAAAGGAAGGCACAATTAAGAACTCAGGGTCGATGTGGAAGTAAGGCCACAAGTGGACGATGAATGGCCCCTCCCATCAGGATTAAAAGAAAAGCAAAAGGGAAGGGCGCTTTTGCAGGAAACAACTCACTTGTTCAGTCATTTGTTCGGTTCAGCGTCGTGGAGATTTGTCTGTACAACCCAGCCCTTCCCTGCCAGCAGTGAATGTGGAACTATTTACTGGGCAGCGTTCCAGGATTGATAAAGGTCTGAGCTCATTTTGCAAGACTGTTTGCCAAGCTGTTGGCTAACTGTGAATGAAATAAATTCACATTAATACATTTTTGCTGGGACTCAGAATTAAAATAAAAGACGTTTTTGCTGGGACTCAGAATTGACTTAGTGCTTGTTCTGACCAAAACATCCTGGGACCATAATTAAGCACACACTTAGTTCAAACAACTCTTGTTTTATTTTAACACTGGGAATTATGTCCATTCCCAGCTCGCAATGAGTCCCAAACAGTCCCTCAAGATAAGCATCCACCTTTATCTCCTTTGAATTGCTGCCAAAAACTAAAGTGCCAAATTAACTATAAAAAACCAACCGAAGTACGAAGTCCACAGAGACTTTAATGTTTAATCTGAACAGAACAAACGACTTTGCTTCCTGCAAAGGTTTCTCTACCTTTGCACTTCCTTTATACCTTAGGGGAGGGGCAATCACCTCCAAACCTTACTCCCGAGTCACCCCTTTTGTCTTAGCTGCTCTTGCTTTCTAGCAGCTCTGCGCACACGCACACTGGGAACAGGCTTCCCTTGTTCCTCTGCCTCACTGCTGCCCGACTCTGGAGGCTCCGGAGTCAGCACAAAACTCCCAGATGATCCTGGCCCCAACTCTGCATCGGACGCAGGACCCTCGTCTGAGTCCTCCCCAGACTCCCGGACTGGTCCCCATTCTTCCCCACTGTCCAATTCCGCTGCTGTCTGCATAGGCTGCTGGCGAACCACAACAGTGATTTTTGGGGAGGCCTAGGACAAAACATAGTGGACCTATTCTGGCAACATCAATGGAACTTAGATGTAGTCATCAAAATTCATCTGGTAGGATTCATATAGAGGCTATTTGGTAGTTAAGACTTTATTCTGGAATTTGCTTCAGGGAATCTTGTGACATTGTTGCATTGGTAAAGACCTTCCTTTTGGGAGGAAGCATCCAGAGGTTGACTGTTGGAAGAAATATCCATCTGGGTTCAGTTCCAGGTGGAAAGAAAGACACTGGAAACATGAAGGCTGATTGGAAATATGGTTTATTGATGAACCACATGGGTTTGAAGTCCTGGTGCAGCTGAACACATGGGGTGGAGAGTAATTTTATTTATACCCTCCCCTGGGCTTTGAACTTGAACTTCCTCTTCCTGTGGCAAGGGTATTTATTCTATTGGCTGTCAGACTCCCAGGGGACTATGCAGGGGTCACAGCTGAGGTTGTCTGATTAAGGCAGGGGTGGATTCCGACAGGGTTAACTACCAGTTCGGTCATTTATGAGGTTCGGTGATTTACGATGTGATTCCCTGCACACTGCCGGTGCACTAAATCGTCATCAGCATGCTGCGTGCAGAGAAGCAGCCTTTCAAAAAGCCCTTTTTTCCTGCTTTTTTAACTGCAGCTGTGCCTCACACGGCAGCTGAAGTTGAAAAAATCAGGAAATAAAGGTCAGGTAAGAGCCCAGGTGGGCAGGTGGGCAAAAACATCAGCAGACATAGAACCTGTTCCATGTCTGCTGCTCTTTAGAGCTACCGGTTCTACAGAGGTGGACAGAACCAGTAGAAACCCATCCCTAGATTAAGGCTGGTTGAACCTTGGGCTGATGTAATGAAGGGGCTTGGTTGTGCCATGTGGTGAGCTCTGCTGATAATGTTATTATGTCCTGGAGGGTCATGTCTTAATCCATCACCCTGGAGCTGAGGTCTTTTGTAGATAGGCTGGCCCAGTCCTCAATGGGCACCAAATATCTGCTGGAGGCAGGAAGATGCAGGGAGCTGAGTTTCTGTCTCCCTTAAGATTTCTATTTCTCTTTTAGGGGAAATACTCTGCCTTTTTAATGTTTCCTAAAATTTTTCATTCTTCTAAGAAGGGTGGGTGCTAACTTTCTTCAGGCAGTTACTTTTTGCTGCAATAATGGTTGGATTGTATTTCCTCATTTTGACTGGTGTTGAGCTTCCTAGAACTCCAAGAGGATAGTAAAATGTTTTAAATTACAAGAAGAGATGAAGGTGAACGTCTACAAATCCTTTATATCCAAGGATATAAGAACTATAATTGAGAATTTAGACAGCTAGTTTAAACAAGTTCACATTACTATTTCTGAAGCATTTTGGGTGCCATGAGTTTAGAATTTAATAACAAATTACAACTCCAAAAAGAATAATGTCAGGAAAAGATTTATCTGTAAACAAAGAGCAAGCCTGGACATTATTTAAAAAAAAAAGATTTCTTCTCCTGGCAGATTTCCTTGTGTCTCAGCAACTATGAAAAAAGCAGGATGACAGTTTATTTATGCACATTTCGGGGGTGGGAACTTTGCTTGGTGTATGTTACTCCCTAAACAGCTTTGAGACACCACAGCACTGCCAAAACCCAAGGAGCAGCAATCCTTTTACTGTCTGTCTATATATGATTTACAGTCATCTCTTGTTTGGTCTGAGATGTTTCAACTTGATGAGAATTTTACTGGCTTTAAATTCAAGGGATAAAAAGAAGGGATAGGCAGCAAACATCGTAAAACACGGAAGAGAAAAAGAATCTGGGAAAACACGTTTATGTTAAACTTTTCGGGCCTGAGCCCGAAATTAAAGTAAACGTTTCTAAGTAAAACTTAAGATCTGAGTTGGACTTGATTCCAATCGTGTTATTAGACAGCGGGGGTTCCAAACGGTGGAATGGGGGGTCCGTGGTTCATCCGTCTCTGGATAAGGCGCAGCCGCTCCTGGATTCAGCCACTTGCGTAGGCCTCCTCAAGCGAGACCCGAAGCGTTGAGAGGAGGTGGCCTCGGCGGCCGCTAAACAGCCCATCCCTAAGCAGGGGAGGGGTTGGAGAAGCTGAGAAACAGAAAATGGTTGAGGGCTGTCTCTGCCCTCGACATCGAGCCGCCAGAGCCGTTCAGCTGGGAGGGGAAGCGAGCCGAGTGAGCAGCGGACCAGTGCTCCCTCCCGAGACTGTCCTGCTCCCGTCATAGGGCTTGTTATTCTGTAGGCAGGGGCGACGGAGGCTGCACGAAGTCTCCCTAGGACCGCAAAGGGCCGACAGCCGCGTCCGCCTCGGTAACATGCAGCTGCGGGAGGAGGAGCAGAAGCAGGCCAGGGTGTGAGGAGGAGCTGCGGCGGCTTCTGCTTTTTGTTTGTTTTGGTTTCGGACGTGTGTCTTTTCCGCCGTTTCCGTGTTTTGGCTCGCCTCGCAGGAGGAGGAAAATGGAGTCCTTCCCCAGTAGCGGTGAGTAAAAGCAGCCCCTTTTCTGGCCTTCCCGCGCGCCAGCGGTAACCCGACTCCTCCGGGCTGCTGCTGGAGGACCTCTAGTTACAGCAGAACGACCCGGCCCTTAGGCGGTCGTTCAAGAGGGGCCACGGCCCGGCTCGGCTCTAAACTTCCTGAAATCCCAAGGCCCCTTTAAGCAGCCGGCTCCGAGGAGTCGTCCTACACCACTCCGCTCCTCCAGGTGTGTTGGGGCGAAGGTGGCCGCCACCCATCCCCATAGAAAGTCGTGAAGGTAAGGTTGCTATATGGTGACAGCCTCGACCTGTGGTGACAGCCTCGACCTGTGGAAAGTTTGGGGGAAGGACGTCTCCCCCTTTGCCTACCGAAAAGGTCTCGCAGGTCTCGCAATAAGTTTTCACGGGTCTCGTTTGGCTTCCTGAGATGCGGGAAGAATAAACCCGACCGGTAAAGTGTTTGGGGCTGTGGGGTACAGCCAAGAATTTCTGAGAAGGAACTACCGTGTAAAAAGAACACATGCTGATAATTGTATCCAGGTATTAGCCTTTCACAGGCGCTCTAGAATTGGAGAGACTTGAAAGGCAGGGAAATCCTCCTCTGGAGGGGAGGAGGGAATCTCTGTCAACACCTGTCTTTGGCTGGGAGCCAACTGCATCTAAAGTGATGTAAATTCTTTCTGACTTACTGGGTTTTTTTTCTTAAATATTTTCTTCTTATTTATTGGGTTCTACAGCTCAGCTTTTCTAGAATCTGACTGGAGATGTCCAGAAGCTGATTGGAAAATGAATTGCCTCTTGAAACTGGGTCAAGAGAAAGTTCTCCATTCCCAAGCAGGAGTTTCAATTCAAAGATGATGGCTACTGCTGTTTAGGCAATATCAACAGAGCAATTCTCATTTGGCTTATCATGACGATAGAAATAGCAAGAACAGCTTGAATTCTTTGTGCAAGGGTTTGAATTTTATTTTATGATTAGTGAAGATTGCATGGGGATTCAGTTCATAAATTTTTATAATGATTAGGAATGATGATGGAATTACAATCCATGTTATTTCATTTAGAATTTAGTTACCAGATATAATTCAATTATAGAATGCAACTGATATTTCAAAATGCAGCAGTTTAGAGTGAAAAAAAACCCAGTAATCTTGAAATCAATGTTACAAGGAAATATCTTTTAATGCTAATCAATGAACCAAAATTTTTGTTCATAAAGGAGATATCTTGGTAAACATATAGAAATATAATTCTAGAAGAGGTATTCTAGTAAAAAACAATCAAGCTCAGCATCAAGAACCCCACATTTCAACAAACATTCCCCTTTATCAATAATTTACTAAGACATTTTTCAGAAATTTCAGTTTTGACTAATCACAGAAGATTGTAGAAAGTAGGAAAAATACTACTGTTGCCCTATTTAGAATTTATTTGTGAAATAATTTGTTTAAAATATGTGTATTCTCTATTTGTTCCTTAAAATGAGCAGTGAATATTGGTTGGGTTATTAATGTTTGTTGCATATTTTTCTCTTTTTTGTGGCAAGGTGCATCCTTAAATACATTTTTGTTTGTTTACTCGTTTCTAGATTTTAAGCTTCAATTGGTGTCAGCATCTGGCTAATCACTTGGATTAGAAACTAAGCAGGGTTGGTTGGCTAAACACCTGGATTAGAAACTAAGTAGGCTTGAGTGAAGTATCTATTACAGGACTATAAAACTCCCGGCCCGCGGGTCAGATGCATCATGTGCTGGCCATGCCCATGGCTGGTTTAGCGAAGGGGAAAAAAGTCCCTATACATCATGTGATGCTGCCATGACAACATGAGTTTGACACCTCTGATCTCTTAGAATGGTAATCTTCATGAGAATCCCGAGTCTATATACTAGATTGAGAAGTCTGGAAAAAAAATGCCAGGAAAAGAAAAAAGGCAAACCAAGAAAACCACATGGACATACTGATGAACTCACCTCAAGGAAGGTGCAATGATCTTTAATATGAAGCATTAAGATTAGATTAATTAAATCCAGATTTTCAGTGGTGCTTGAATTAGAAAAGGAGACATAGAAGACAGCCTATTCTTCTTTGGATAAAATTGTAATCCATAAATAGATTTTTATTTGTTGACTGTAAAGGATGTCTAGCTCTTAAAATTCTTTATCTTTGAGATACAAGTAAGTTCTGATTTCCAGCCAGGACAGTGTTACTTCCTTTTCACTACTGCTTGGTGAATATATTCGGTGAATCCATTGGGCCTGAGGAAAAACATTGCAATAATTTTTAATGAGTCATATAACTTGAAATCATTTATTGTAATTGTTGCAAAAATTGTGTGTGTGTTAATTCAAGAACAATGAAATTATCTGGGATTAAGGGGTTTAGCATACATTGAGGTAAGAATCAGAATTTGCATGAAATAAAATTGCAGGGATTACATAAGCACATTTATATAGATAACATTCTTGCAACAGTTATACATTGATCTACTTAGATCAGAGTAGCAATCCTTTCTTTTGTCTAGAATTATAATAGCAATAGCACTTAGACTTAGACTTATATACTGCTTTATAGCCCTCTCTAAGCGGTTTACAGATTGGAAGTAATTTTATAGACCATTTTATCCAATCATTTGCCCCAGATTCCTGAGAGGTAGCCATATAACTCCTATCTGAAATTTCCTGGGTGGGAAAGATTGTAATGTTCCTGCAGATTCATCTGTGTTATTATCAAGAAATTCTTCCTAATATTCAGTATGAGCCTCACTTTTAATTTCACCCTGTTATCTTTTTGTCCTTATTTTCAACTGAGAATAGCCTTTGAATGTCTTTTAGGTATTATATTCACTATGATATGTTCCCAGTTGTTTAATGGTTTCTTGTTAGCCTTTCAGAGCTCTTAAAATTTTGGTACCTTTACACTGAATCTGTTTCAGCTTTTCCTTAGTCCTTTTAAAGAGTGATGTCCTGAACTAACTACATAATACAGTATTCCAAGTATACTTGAGATTCAAAAGATCAAAGATATATGATCAAAGTGATAAAGAATATCAAATGGTCTTTGTTTTTCCATTTTCCTTATTTACACTTCTGAAGAAGCCATGAAAACTATATTAAAAATATCCCAAAGATTTGAATAAATTGCTCTAAACTTTTCTTCCCAATCTATTTGTACAAAAATACCTCCTAATTCAAATATTGATAAAGTCCTTGCTACAAATTTCAATAGCATTTAGATTTATATACCACTTCACAGTGCTTTACAGCCCTGTCTAAGCAGTTTTCAGAGTCAACATATTGCCCCCAACAATCTGGGTGCTCATATATAGGTAGCCCTTGAGATACGACCACAATTGAGTCTAAAATTGCTAAGTGAAACATTGGTTAATTGAGTTTGCTCCATTTTACAACTTTTCTTGCCACAGTGGTTAAGTGAATTATTGCATTTGTAAGTTAGTAACATGATTGTTAAGTGAATCTGGATTCTCCATTGACTTTGCTCTTCAAAAGGTCATAAAGGGGATCACATCACCCTGGGATGTTACAACCGTCATAAATATGAACTAGTTTCCAAGCATCCAAATTTTGATCACGTGACCATGGGGATGCTGCAACAGTCATAAATGTGAAAAATGGTCATAAGTCACTTTTTTCAGTGCTGCAGTAACTTTGAATGGTCACTAAATGAACTGCTGTAAGTTGAGGACTACCTGAATTTTATATTGTATAGTAAGTATTTTGGCTATTATTTTGTGAAAAGTTTACAATTCTTGATAATTTGAGAGATCCCAAATATTGAGGTATAGCTAAGCAGAACATGTGTCTTTCATAAGTCACTCAGTATAAAATAGTGGTACTCAACCTTTGTAAATTCAAGATGTGTGGAGTTCAACCACTAAAATTCCCGAGGCAGCACTAAAATTCCCGAGGCATTCCCTGGCTGGGGAATTCAGGAAGTTGAAGTCCACACATGATAAGTTTGCCAAGGTAGAGTCTAAAATATGGGTAGTAGCTAAAGAGCTAGACTAAGATTGGTGAGATCCAGGTTCAAGTCTACTTTAGCACTGGAAACTTACTGGGTAACTTGGTCAATTACTCTTAGCCCAATCTACCTCAGTGCAAAGAAATATTGGAAAGAGTGTATATGTCCCTGAGTTCCTGGAAGAAAACTGAAATACAAATCAGCAGTTAAACCTCCTTTTGCATTTGAACCCCCCCAAAAGTTAACAAGTGGGCAGATTTTAAGAATAGGTAGCATACAAATGTTAGTAAATAAAGTTTCTACCATATCTATTAACATTCTGCAAGTAATATTTTCTAGCATTTCAAAAATATTGGAGCTGCCCAATATATATTAAATATGTCTTTTATTTCATAAAACTCATTTTAAGATACAGAAAAAAGAAGCTCATATTGTATCCTATGACTATTATTAAGTATTGTACCTTATGATTCTTGACTCTTGACGAATGTATCTTTTCTTTTATGTACACTGAGAGCATTTGTACCAAAGACAAATTCCTTGTGTGTCTTGGCCAATAAAGAATTCTATTCTATTCACAGTCTTAAATGACCTTGCACGGATTTATCAAAACAGAGCATTCAAACTCTTCATTCGAAAGATTGTGTAAATAATTGTTATGCCAAATTGCTATTCTGATTTGATGGTTTCAAATTTTGTGGTACTTAGAGAAGACCCTTTTGTTCTTATGGAATACTATTTTTTTCTGTTCCTGGTATTTTTTTGTCTTTTGTCCCCCTATGGCAAAAATGTGGATCAAAACACTTCACAAACATGGTAATTAAACTCATGAAAAAACCGATAAGCGTGAATATATATTTGTGTTGAGCTCTTGGAAATAGATTTATAATTTGGCAAATGCCTGTTTTCAGAGCTCTTCTGGGAATTCATAATCCTACTTAAATTTTCAAATCTTGTTTGTAAAATGTATGTAAAAGCTGAACTCTTAGACTGCATCTAGACAAACACTTTAACTTATAAGCTCCA